AACGGCCAACCAAAAGAAAATGCAATATTTTATTGCAAAATAAGCTCTATAGACGTTCTTACAGAACAATTAGGAACAATTAGGTTATGTTGAGAGCGTCTGTTTTATGTTTAATCTGCTTCTATTACATTTTAGCTCCAGCTGTAGATAAAGAGCAAAAATTGTTTAAGCGGAGGCTCTTATTAAAAACATCTCACGAGCACTCTGTCTGCTTTCTAAAGTTTTTACCAAAATAACGGTAAACTCTAAGCTTCTGTAAGTAGGCCATTTGCCCATGATATGGCTTCTTCAATTAATTGTGATACAGAACTTGAAACTTTTTTTTTGTAACTTCAGAAGTTTTAAAAACATTTTCAAACAATATTTAAAGTGTGTTTAATAGCAAGCTAATAATTTTTTATAATAAATCTTTACGTACGAGATTTTATGTAGGAACCGTTATCCGATGTTTAAACTGTAATTTTAAAAATACATTTCATTTATCTTTATATTTAAATTACAGTGTTTCTGATTTAAAACCATAAAAAGTAAATTTACGTGCTGTAATTACATTTCATGAAACTGGACGTGGTAGAGAAGAAGTGTGCACTTTTACTTCCACTTCTTACAAATTACAACTATGATCTTATAAGCAATAAATTACATAAAGTATGTAAAGAAGGTATAGCCAAATGCTTCCAATGATGACATTATTGATTGTGGCACATTAATAAATGAAACAGGCAATGTTATGAGTACTCTTCTTCAAACAAAGTTGTCACTAGTCTTTTACATGAAAATAAAAAGGTGATTGGTATGTTTACTTTATATAAGTTCAGTAAGATGTGCGAAGTAAATAAAAGAATAAAAGCCCTATTGAATTTGAATATTGGAAAACTACACTAATGAGCCAAATTAATCATTTTTTGCTCAGCAAGGTTAATAAAAGCTGTTGGAGCGCAAGAAATATTCCATTAGTTCATTTAAAAGTATGTTCAAGATATACCGTAAAACGGGGTGAATAGAAACAACTTTCAACTTTGGTATAAAATTTTGCATACTTGCAGTTGCTCTAGATAAATATTTTTTTGCCCAAACACAGGTCTCTGTTAGACCTATTTGTTTATAGTATTTAAATTTTTTAATTTTATTTGATTTTAAAGAAAAATAAATAAAACATGGTGTTTCTATTCACCTCGCAAATGGGGGTGAATAGAAACAGTATTTCAATTTCATGTTTTTCTATTGAAACAAATCTAAAGAGTCACTATGCTGCACTGAAAAATCATCTTCATCTTCTGATGATTACTCCACAAGCGTTCGGCTTTTATTTGTCTGAACTTGTTTGGTGGAACATGTGTTTTAGGGATTTAAGCTTTTATCGTCGTCAACAAAGTCCTCAACACCGATACTTTTGCCAGGTTTCACATTAACTTTGGTTCTTTTTTTTTTTATCTTAGGAGTCTGATCTTGTCTCAGACTCTGAAGGAGCTCTTTGAAACTATTGTCAACCGCTTCATTGTTATTTTCAGGATTCTGGTTTTCCTCTTCATCGATAATTTGTGGAAGCATAGAGAGAACTTTGTTCCTGTTTAAAGGTGCTATACCACATTTCTTAAAACCGGTGATCACATTTTCTTCCTTCAATGAATCACACAACTTTTTCAACAACGTTGGAAATTTATTCTTAGGAACAATTGCTTCCGCTCTTCCTGGACCTTTTTTCCACTCTTCGATAATCTGTCGCCATGTCGATTTTAATGGCCGAAAAAATGACACGTCCAAGGGTTGTGTCAGATGGGTGGAGCTTGGAGAAAAATAAAAATGATATTATTGTCTTTACACAACTTCACAGATTTTAATGATAAATGGGAAGACAAATTGTCCCCAATCAGAAATTTTTGACCTGTTTGTTTTTTCAGGTATGGAAAAGCAACTGTCAGTATCCAATCTTCAAAGCAAAAGAAATCAAACCAGCCAGACTTTGTTCGATTGTACCTGGCATTTTTTAGCCCACCCTCTGTCCAGCTTTGGTACAAATGAATTGCCTTGTACACAATGTAAGGGGGTAAAATAGTACCATCTGCAGCGGCTGCAAACATCATAGACGTAGATGCCTTTAATGAGTTTATGATTCTTTCTGGATATTTTGTCCCTCTACGTGTAATGACCTTTCGTTTACCAGGGTCATCACTTAGATTCGTCTTATCGTAGTTAACAATATTAGATAAAGACGCATCCTGTAATTCACATGTAAGTTCATCAAAATAGCTGTTAATTGTATCTGATGTCACACCAGCTCTCGATCGTTTAATATTTTGACACATTCTCACGGCCAGTTGATCCTTATGACGTTTTAAAAGTGTTTCAACAAAGTCACGGCCTGGGAGGTTATGTTTAAACCTCTAACTTTTTTACTTATTTGGTCTAAGAAGTCTTTTATAAGAAGTCGTAGAGTTGTAGTGTCAATAGGATAACCCCATTCGCCACATATCTTCAGCTTTTCAACAAACAGTTGTTCTTCTTCGAGAGATAGAGCTGCCTGACCACCGTGTTTCTCTATATTAGGACCATTTTTCAAGTGTCGATATATAATACTATAATGCAAACCATGTTTTAAAGCAGACTTCCGAAAACTTAGACCTTTCTGTATGTCAGAAATTGCCTTTTTAATTTTTTTTGGATTGTGCTTTTTGTAGCCTCCTGTAACCACCGGCTTGTAGTGTCTTGGCATTTTACAGGGTCCTGAAACAAAACAGCTGTGTCAGTTAAGTGTCTAACATAAATATATAGCACACAGTAAGTATTTTATACAGTATAAACGTAATTTAGTATTAAATTTTTTGTGTGGTGTGTATAGAAACACTAGAAATTATGTGTTTCTATTCACCCCGTAAATTCAGAAAACCTAACCTAAAAAATAAGAATAATTATTGAAATAATGTTGTTTAAGTTTAAGCCTAAAGTTAGCCTAAATCTTTTATATGAATAATTAAACTATATTTTGTACAACTATTTACTTTCAAGAACACTAATTAATCCGACTTACTTAATCCGAGCTGATAGTTATCGTTAGCAAATAAACCAGTGAACTCTGTTTTCCAATCAACAGCTGCGATGTGTGCGAATATTGCTGTATAGTTTGCTCGGCTCAAAATAGGTGAGTTGTCAAGGCCTACAACAGTGAGTTAAACTTCAATGAAGCAGTATGCCCGGCCTTTTGGAGCGCTGCTGTTGAGTAACTATTTGATGAGGATAGCACAATATGGCTCATTTGTTATGATTAGTTCAAGTTTGGTAGTAGGCTCGACATGTCGATTACTACGGTACGTTCGGAACATGACGAGCTGAGTCGTTCCTCCTCGGATCATTCACACAACCTTAATGATCAGATTCTTACTCAGAGTATATTACATGTCACGGTTGTTACATCACGGTTGTTGCGCAGGTTGCATAATATGATAGACTATAGTAGCATTGCCTGCTCGGCAATGCTACTATAGTCTATCAAATTAAACGGTGGCATATGCCAACGTTAATTTCGATATAGATGTATATCTAAAACTGAAATTACCATATAGAATTGCAAAGCAAATAGGCATTATCTGCCCAGTGTTCGTAATCAATGTGATACGCTGAGTAAGAACCTGATCATTAAGGTTGGGTGGACGATATAAGCAGCCAAGGAAAAACATTTTTTCACCGAGCTCCCAGAAGTCCTTACGGTCTTATCACGGAGCACCGCGGGAGAGCATTTAACTAGAGGTTTACGCCTCCTTCCATACAAATGTCGCTAATTGGGCTAGAACTGGCGTCGAGCCTCAGACCTCTGGGTTCTAAGCCAGAACTCTAACCACTGCGCCACGGCTGCTCAACATCAATTTTCTCAATTGATGTTGAGCTGAGTAGCATCAACTTTGTTAACTTTGATCTTAAATCTGTGTAAATGGCAACTCATACATTTTATAATCCTTTATTATATTTATATATAATAATAAATTTCTCTCTATATAATTACTAATAATGAAAAGATTTGATTTTGTAAAAGAACAAAAATTAAGCTTATTGTGATGAAATTTATCCGAAAACAAACAACAGAACAACGTGTCTTATCGTATCTATCTTATAAAGTTTTAATAGAACTTCTTTAAAAAGTTATTAGCAAAATGGTAACTAAAATAGATAAAAAGTTAAATTTAAAAGTTAATTTAAGGATTATCTAAATTGTTACTGTTGTTATTGTCGTTTTTTTATTGGAAGCTTACCCTGTTAGTTTTTTTATTTTATTTTTCGCTTAGGATAAATAATTGTGAAATGATCAGAAACATCGGTTTTTATTTGTCACTTTTTTAGCGAAGTTGGTAAATAAAATGTTAACGATTAAGGACGAAGAATAGCATGTGATTCTGGTCAACTAATTAACGGTAATGTTTCAATTTCAAATATTTCGCTAAAAATATTTTTATGTTTTGATTTTCGCAATAATCAAAAGTTTGTTATTTTAAAAACGCCTATAAAGGAATTTTTTTTTCAAGATCGGTTTTCTTTATTACGTTTTTCAGTAAAAAAATTTGCAAGTTTTTAGTTGATACCAACGCTTATTAACGTTTAACTGAGTCCTTACAAATGTAAGCAAATTTTTGAAAAAACTCATACCATATCCATCTTCCAGGTATTGATCCAATAATTTTTGGACAGCGTAATAATAAGCATCGAGATTTCTTTTTCGTTAAAAAAATTTTCACTTTTGTATAAAGCCAACAAAATGCACTTTTATGAAAAAAGTAAGAGGATTTTAACTATATAATTTATCAATAAGCGTTCAAAAAATAAGCTGTTGCTGTGCCACCAAACTGAAAAGTTTTTTTCACAATCAGCCAGTCCTTATCTTAAAGTTTGGCTCAATGGCTTTGACACAATGAGCCACAAAGTCCACAAGTGCTTGTTTTTTAATAAGTTTGATTTTTTAAAATATAAAAAAACTACAAAACGTATTTAAAATTATTGTGTTAATTAAATAATTGAAAACTTTTATTAAAATACCAAACAATTGTCTGAACTATCAAACAAAAAATTCTGTAAAAGAAATTATTTGAACAGAAATATAACCATTTAACAAATAAGCAACAACAAAAAGTACTTAAATATTCTTGGCTCATAAAAAACATTCGTGGCTTTCTCAGTAAAACAGAGAGTTGAGAAAAAGAGTTCTGAAAATCTCTCTATATTTAAAGATTTTCTGAAATCTTACTGAAATAATATATATTGAATAAATACTTAAAAAATATATCATTTACGCATGACTATCAAAATAAACAAAAAAATTATCAAACATGAATAATAAAACAATTTTTTACAATTTACAATAAATAACTTCCACACAAAAATATTATTGAAAAAATTTTCTGTTAAAAAATTAATCTTAAAACGTATCATAAGTGTCACGCATTTGATTCATGAAATCTCTGCTTTGGTCATGAAGAATCTCTTCAAATGCTAAAACCAAATCTTTTTCAAGCTTAGGTCTCTTACTAAAAAAAAAAAAAAGTTATGAAACGTGAACCAAATGTGTGTTTATGTTAAAGTATTGTCGTATATTAATGAATTCCTGTCAAGATCTTGTTTTGATATTGGTATTTTTATATATACTTAGTGTAGGGTAAGGAAATTTAACTTTAAACACAATTTCACCTTTTTTTTTGTATTTTTTAATAAACTGGATCATGGCTGCTTTATAGAACTACATTCTATAAATAGTATAAACATACAAACCATGCCGTACTTTGTAATAGGTCTATTCACCGTGTTGATGACGTCAACACGGTAAATAGACCTACTATAATAGACAAACTAAATGCAAAAACTTGTATTTTGTATATTCTGTAACATAAAGTCGAAGTTCTTGCTAAATTATTTAATAAATTTTTAATTAACTTAACTAATAATAAACATGGGTTGTCAATGTTGTATGAATAATTGCAACAGAAATTATGATAAAAGTTCTGAAGAAAAAAATTTTCGTCTTCCATGAACACCAGAATAAGAAAAAAAGTGGCTGGCTGTTATACAAAGAGACAATATAACAGATAAAAAAGACACTCGTTTGTGAAAGGCACTAGCCTGTTGGGTAAGTTTCAACAAAAGATTATGGCAAAGAAAGACCTCGTGATCTACCATCTGTGTTTAAGTGTGACAATTTTAGGATCGCATGCAGAAAGTAGAAATGTTCAGCCTGACGAGTTTTATGCTTTTAATTTAAAAGATGTTATAAAATCTTTTAATGATCTAAAAGTAAATATAGGAAACTATATATTTAATGGAATAGACTAACTTAATACTGAAACAGAAAACCAGGTTTTGATTCAATCATTAGAGTTCATAACACAGGTGTTCCATTGTTTGTTTATAACACAGCTGTTCCATTGTTTGTTTGTTCATAACACAGGTGTTCCATTGTTTGTTCTGAGAACAAATAATAATTTTCAGCATGAATCTTTTCAAGATTATGTTAAGACTATTGCAGTACCATGTAAAATGCTTCCTGTGCGTAAAACCAATAAAATTTTTTTTTTTGAACAAACTACCTTTCTTTTATCTGCCATAAAAGCAGCAGGTGGCTATGTTATATCAATAGTTTGTGATACTAACTTGGTAAATCAAGCCTTTTTCAAGAAATTTAAAACAGATACTTTGACAAACAACAGATAATCTTTGTATGATTTTGTGCATTTTTTTAAAATATTAACAATAATTGGAAAAATTGAAAAGTAACATTAACTTGAGTTTTTTGTTAATAAAGAAAAAAAAGTTGCCAAATGATTTCAAATTGTAGCATAAATTGCATTAAAATGTCACCCAGAGTTAAAATGTCATCCAGAGTTAAAATGTCACCCAGAGTTAAAATGTCACCCAGAGTTAAAATGTCGCTCAGAGTTAAAATATGTCGATGATACTATTTCTTTTCTTTCAATATTTGAAGTTTGGAGAATTCTTAATTTTCATAGCCCTTATGCAAATATACATATGAGTGATCCGAATTGAGCTTATACTTTTTCTTCTGATATTTTTAAGCAATTAAAATTCGAAAACATGACAAAGCAAATGTGCTCTTCTCAAAGAAATCATTTTAAAAGCATCACAAATGTTACTTCTCAAAGTCATAATTGTAATGGTCTTTTGTAGTTGTCAAAGTTTTTCTTGTTAATATTTACAACAGATCCTTTAGAAAAGCAGTTCAGAAAACTGAGACAAGCATCAGGAGGTACATATTTTATCACTGTACAACAAATACGAGGGGAAGTTGGTATTATAAAAGCAAAACTACTTTTGCAAATAGACAAGTATGATGTTAGCCTTGATTATACAAAATCAGAAAATTCTAGTGAATGATGAGGTTTTTACTTAAATGATGAACAATGTTTGATACTTGATAACTTACCAGAATTAAAAAGAATATTATCTATAGATGTCAAAATGACTATAATTTACATAAATGGGTATGTTTTCCAAATTGATGAAGATTCAGATTTTATTATGAACTCATTTTTTTATTTTGAATTATTTAGAGATTTTTCTGAAGAAATCAATCGTGGAGAATCAAACTGTGCCTGGTGATTTGGTATATCAATTGGTAATATCATTACATTGTTTTCATCATTTTTTTCTCATTATATTGGTTTCATGAATTAGCTGATGATAAATGCATTTCTTTATTGTGCTATAATCAATATATATATATATATATATATATATATATATATATATATATATATATATATATATATATATATATATATATATATATATATATATATATATATATATAGTATTGCGTAGAATGGTAAGCAATCTGACGTCATACTGAAATAGCCTGCTGCTGGAGGCTTCAGTACATACATCGACTGACAAACCTCGCAGTGGAGTGCTGCTACATTGACTGAGGGTTTGGGATGGGGAAGCAATCGTTTTATTCATTATTCTTCGTTTTTTCTTCTTCTTTTTCGAGCTTCGACATTTCGACGACAATAAAATGTATCTTAATTGTCAAAGTAGTAAAATTGTAGTCGAAAGAGACTTTTTTTACATTCAAAGTCTCTTTCAACTACACTATAAGGATATATATATATATATATATATATATATATATATATATATATATATATATATATATATATATATATATATATATATATATATATATATACATATATATATATACATATATATATATATATACATACATATATATATATATATATATATATATATATATATATATATATATATATATATATATATATATATATATATATATATATATATATATACAGAGCCTTACCTTTCTAGGTAAAATTTGGGCGGCAGTGCCCCCTTGTTACGGCGAACTTTAGCAGAAAATCAGCGTTTTTTTTGTGGAAAAAAACACACGATATTTGCCGATTAAAAAAACGATTTTATTATAAAATGAAGAAAAATGAAATAAAAGATTGCTGCCCCATGCCAAACCCTCAGTCAATGTAGCAGCACTCCGCTGTGAGTCAGGCTATTTGCCAGTCGATGTATGTACTGAAGTCCCTGGCAGCAGGCTATTTCAGTGTGATGTCAGAGTGCTTATCTAAACTAGCAATTTATGTTATATATATATATATATATACATATATATATATATATATATATATATATATATATATATATATATATATATATATATATATATATATATATATATATATATATATATATATATATGTATATATAAATATAAAGAAAAACAATCATTTAAACTTGTGTATAAAAAAAAAGGAAAATTTATTAGAATGTCGACAGTTAGATAAAATTTCGTCTTTTCTATTAAGTAAATTGTTTCCATTATAATATAAAATTTCACACTTTTCATGAAAGCAGAAGTTACAAATTTTAGTTTTTCAGTTGTAAAGTTTACAGTGTTTTATAATTTTTTATTTAATATATGTTTTATGGCCTTTTCTTTTAAAGCCCAAATCTAATTAGAAAGCTTGGTATCATTTCTATACTTTACCACATTCAAAGATTTTATATGATTTGTTAATTCATTTTTTTTTATAATTTGAAATGGTGTCTTACTAATGTAGAACTTCTTCTTTAGGGACAGAATTTTCAGAAAAGGTCTCAATATGAATGAACACATTGAGTAATTGACAAACAATCCAGAAGAGCTTATTTTGGCCTTAAATAGAATTTGTCTATTTTGTTATTACAATATTTAATAAAGAATTTTTTTAATTAAAAATGGTAAAAAGGAAATAATAAAAAAAAATAACTTACTTTATTAACAACTTTACAACAGCTAAAATATGATTCACATCATTGGTAAATTCCTAAGTAACAATACTTTATACTATTAATAAATTCAAACAACTGGTATTTATAAAACAAATAATTATCTGACAATATATACAATAATACAAATATTTATCATAAAAATTAAAAAATTCAGACTATTTAACGTCAATCATATTGACCTAAAAAAAGAACAACAATTTACTAAAAAAATAAATAGGTGTCTGGAATAGGTGGCTATACAATGCATTGAAGAATAAATTTTATGTGCATTATAAAAGAACTATTATTATAGACTTGAAGATATAAAGTATATTGCTGGAATAACATTCTATAACAACACTTTATGATAACATTTTATAACAAAACATTTTCTTTTTTTAATGTTAGTTCACCTCTGCAAGGCCAAGAAGACCACTACAGTCAAGGAGGCTGCTTTTAATTGTGGTAACAAACCTTCTCTCAACTTTATAATTCCGAAACACAAACCTTGAGAAACACTACGTGCAAAAACAAGTTGAGCTTGGTGACCAGAGACGTGGTGAGGATATAAAGCAAGTTCTCTACCATTACTACTGCATTATTACTACACCCTACCCACTACTTACATTTATAAACAATAACTTCATAAGCTGTATTTAAAAAAAAATGAAACACCTCTATAAAATTAAAAACATTTTTTATAGCACTTTCTATATCAACCATCATAACACATCAACTTCATATAAAATATCACAGAATATCAAACATTATAACATATGAACTGCCACTACCTAATCCACTACAAGCAACTACTTCTATAACTACTACATTACAATTAATTACCAATAAAAGTACATACCATCTAGCAATCAATACAAACTAATAAAATGATAAGCTATCACTTTACATCACACCTTTTCAATTACTATAAGTAATAGATTATCACTAATTTATTACTTATAGTAATTGAGCCATAACGACCACTAAAATTAGCTTTTTCCCACTTCTATCTAATTTCCCACTTCTATCTAATTCTATTTTTTTTATATAAAGATAAATGCAGATTAGATATATATATATTTTTTTGTATTGAACAAACTTAAACTAGTTCAGAACCATAAAAACTTATTTTTACCTCATTTAGTGATAAAAAAGATTTCCCCTTTAAATTACTATCTTTCAAAAACAATTTAAATCAAGATCATTTATTATTCTCTTTATACAACAGCTATACCTATTACAATTCTTAACTTTAAACTCCTAATTCCTCCCTCTTATAGAAATAATTAAAAGAAAAAGAAAAAAACTTATTTTACTTTTATATTACAACATCAAAGATGGTTGCTACTAACATCAAAGATGGTTGTACTTTTGCTAAATATTTTAAAACTTCAGATTTATTCTTAAATTTTTTTTTTTTAATTTTAAAAAAATTCTGATTTGTTCTTGAAAATCATTTATACTTACTTTTAAAAATAATTTTTTTTTAAAGGAAATATTATTAGAGGTAGGGAGAGGTTGAACATCGTTTTTTTTTTTTATATATATATAGCTTAAATGGACATCAACTAACACTAGATTTTAAGTATGATTGCACATCAACAAACACTGCATATCAAGTAACATTAAATATTAGAGCAGGTCAATTTTGAAATTAGAAGTTTGATAATACATAATTTGTTTACTAAGAGAAAAAAGAGAAAAAAGGTTTTTCAAAATCTAATTTTAATTTTACTAAGAGAAAAAAGGTTTTTCAAAATCTTATTTTAATGAAGTTCAAGTTAAAATAACTTTAAACATAAATACAAGACTTCTATACAAAAGATTTTGTATAGCAATAGATAAAATTTTGAACTAAAAAGGATATTTTTAAACAAGTGTTGAATGTTTGTTCTGAGTATAATGTTTTTAAAACACCTTAACCCACAAAAAACAAATTTGGTGGAAGCCCTAACCCTCTTGTGAATATAGAACCACCCACACACAGACAGATTATTAAAGATTTTTATTTTCTGATTAATAGTTATTATATGTTTCATCATAATTGTAAAAGTTATAGCAGAAAAAAAAATCATCACATTCAAAAAAGTTAATGTTAAGTTACCTTTAATGTTCACTTATTGTGTATAGAAAAAGGTTGGAATACTTCTAAATATATCAAGACTGATAAACCAAAATAAATGTAAAATGAAAATTCAATTTAGCTCAGTCAATCGTGAATGGTCTAGAAACAAATTTTCAAAGAAAACTAAAATTGAATGTAAATATTTAGAATAATCACTACAAACATTTAATCTACCAGAAATTATCAGAATCTGGTTTAAAATCTTTCAGCTCTAGTGAGGTAATAAACATATACAGATAGGTACACCTTAAAAACTACAAAAAAAAGTGGTACCCTATAACTGAATATTGGAAACTTCTGAAGTGCTGAAACTTTCTATATTTAAAAACTACTTTAAATGAATGTCTTCCCTGGCCTTATTTTTTAATCTATAGTTTTTAATAAAGTTTTGTGATTAAAAGAAAAGTTGCCTTTTTTGATTGTTACCCCTTAAATACCGCAATCAGATTTTTTGCTTATAATTTTAGAGCCGTTGATCAGATTCCCTCAAAATTTTGTAAACATTTTGTTTTCGGGCCATAGTATTGGTACACACATTATTGTAAATCTATTATAAACGAAAAGACATAAACAACCCCAAAACTCCTCAAAACTACAAAATAAATCCTTACAAATTGTAACTAAATACTAATACGCTGTAATTAGGGGATTACTATTAATTAAAATTTGTAGATAGTTTAACATAGAGGGCACTCAGATATTTTTATTTAGTAGGAATATTACTTAAGTTTATTTATGCACACAATTGTTTTATACTGTATGTATTTTATAGATAAAAATATTATAAGTAATTTTGCAATGGGGAAACCAAAATTTATTTTAAAAGTGAGAAAAGAACCTTTTGTTGTTGGAAAACCAAATCCAAAAGCAGAGGCAAAAGTCCAGAGGAAAAAAATAAATATGAAAGAACTTCAGATTCAACAAGCTGTGTCTTGGTGCATAGAGCACAAAAAAATAGGCTATGCTGCTTTGCAAACTGGTATGTTTTCTTTTATCAAAGATCAAAGAACCATTGATTGGAGATTAGATGGAAAAACTGCTAATATAAAAAAGCAACATCTGCAAATTTTAACAGAATAAGAAGAAAACTCGATTGTAGAATTCATTAAAAATAAAAACAGGTGCCATCAAGGAATATCGAGGAAACAAGTCACTAATCTAATTATTGATGTTTATTGATGATCTAGTAATGCAAAACATGTTGTTAAGACAGGAAAATAAGTAGAGTGTTTAGCTACTAAATAAATTATAATGAAAGTTTCTTTATGTAATATATTACACTAGTTATTTGTTTTTTAATACTATTCCATATAATCCCAACATAACTATATTATAAACACAAGTTTTAAATTTATTATAGGCTTGGTCAGTTGTTTTGGCAGAGATGGGAAGCAGAGCACCATAACTTAGTTCTAAAACAAAAAGGAAATAAACCTATTAACAGGGCATTGAACTGCACAAGGGTCACACAAGGGTCATGGCCGAGTCACATTTAGGTAAGAAAATAATTAATAATATAATTTTGTACTTTATTTGCTGATATGCTCCATAATTAAAACAATGATACATAAATGTCTTAGATTAGCCCTAGGGTGCAGTGTACTAGCAAAAACATTTTGAATTTATCTTTTAGATTCATTGGCTGAAGAACTTATTAAATGTGAGATTTTCACAAACTCAAAAAAACTTGAACCTGGTGTGTGGAAGGGTGATATTGATACAAAAAGAATTTTTAATTTTGATGAAACACCCCAGTTCATAAATTATGGGGTTGATGGAACAAATTCCGGGCTCGCGTATGTTGCACGTGGGGAACCTTGCAGAAAAATGATTAGGGAGAATCCTGAATCAATAACAATATGCCCAGTTATTTAATTAGCAGGTAATAATAACACAAACTATTTATGTAAATGTACCTATGCAATAATTTGCATTTATCTGAAAAAAAAACAACAACCAATCATGTTTTCATCACTTAAGAAGTATTAGTCAATCGTTTTAGTGTTTGTTTTTAGAGAATGTTTTTATCCCCATGGTTATGTTAAGTATAGGTTTAATCATAAGTAATATTTTTTTATTTTACATTTCAGGCGAAATTGTTGTTTCACAAGTTATTTTTGCTGGTAAAGGTATCACAAGTCATATGGCCCCAAAAATAGCTGTCGAAAATATAAAAAATTTAATTATATCATCTATTGAAAAAGGAAGCCAGGATAATCATTCTTTATTGGACCTGCACAAAAAGTTAGATATATATTTGTCAGAAGAAAATATACAACGACCTGTTGTAAGCAGATGGACACAGTTCAAGATTTGACTACAATGTTCTACATTTCCTCCATGAAAAAAAAATTAACTTGTTTATAAGTCCTCCTGATACAACTGGGGGGTTACTCAACTGTTGGATCAAAGTCCTAATCAAAACATGCATCGTGAATATGACAAAAAAAGAGATGAACTTTTTACAACTTTCCAAACAATAAACCGAGAAGGCTTCATAACAATTTTAGGAGAAATGTGGGATAAATGGGCTTTTAGGAATACCATAATTAATGCTGTAAAGAGAGTTGGCATATCTAAAAAAGGTTTAAATGTAAATAATATGCAGCAAAATAAATTTCAACAGGCTGCAAACTGTATGATGTATGTACAGGCTGTAACTGTACTGTAAGAAAGTTATTAAAAAAGTTTAATTCTAGAAGATATACCAGGTTTGCTTAGAGTAAACAAGGTAAAGCCAAAAGACATGAATAAAACAAAAAATATACGTGTCACAAACATACATGGGTCAATGGAAGCCCAAAACATCATTGAACAGGTTGAGTTGATTGAAATTAGAAAAAGGAAAATAAAAGATCAAAAGGAGAAAAAAAAGCAAGAAAAAGATAAAGAAAAAGAACAATTTTATAAATCTTTTGGAAGTTCTCTTCC